AAATGAAAGGAAATATGTATTTCTTCTATTTCATTTATCTGAGCTTCTGCTTTTCACTGAAGAAGAAGAAGAAGAAGAAGAAGAAGAAGAAGAAGAAGAAGAAGAAGAAGAAGAAGAAGAAGAAGAAGAAGAAGAAGAAAGAAATAACACCTTTTCTTTGTATTTTATACCCTAATCCTCTTCTCTGATTGGCTGGCAGGTGTCTGCTACAATCATTCAGCATACGTAGTAAGGCCCAAGTAGTTTTTGTGCCTTAACCTAACCAAACTGTGACTGTTTATCATTGTAACGATGGTGCCAAAGATCTGGTACACCGCTGTTGGTACGCTCCAAGTGTTTATTAATGTAACCATGACAACAAAGGTCCGGTTTGCCTGCCACTGTAGGGACACACACGACCTGTATGATTGTTCAGGTTGGAGGACTTGTTGCAAATAAACGTTGATCTAAACAATGTTTTAAGATAAATATAAATGCAGTCTACACATTCATTAAGCCTTAACAATACACTCAGTGTGCTTTGGTGAGAAACACTGAATGTAAACAGACTCTTTGTTTACAAGAAAAATCTGCAAGGCATCTTTAACCAAATGGACCACAGCCTTATATGTCTTTGCTAAGTGCTGATGTAAGTATGGAAATTCAGAAAAAAACAACAACAAAAAAACGGTAATATAACTTGTTGTGTGTTAATGCTTCACTGGGATTTTTAACAGGAAAGGGAACAAAAAAAGTCAAGTAAAATATTTCTTTAAAAAGTGCAAATCACCAATTATCAACCAGTCAATTACCAGCTGAATAAAATATTCTCTCGAGACATTTATTGTGTCACACCCTTGTTTACACAAAACAACAGAAAAAAACGTAGGTGGGAATCAAGTTGGTTTTTATTCAGAGAATCAATGTTTACAACAATAAATGAGTAATTTATTTCTGAAGGAAGATCAAGATCAAGATCACCGCGCATGCCTTACTGACCACTTCCTCAAGGAAATCTGATGTTATCTTGTGGTTTCCTGTTTGTCCATCACGCCTGTCAAAGTCTATCTGGCTGTACGGCACAATAACCGACCTACTCCCGCCTCTCAAAATGCGGTCTCTGCTAACTCTCTGAGCCTGATCTGTCTGATAAAGCCTCAAAGACGTGTACCACTTTCACAGGTGAATAGCGACACAAAAACACAGCTTCTCAAGAAAGGTTGTGAGGTGACTCAGAGCAGCCATTCATGCCCGAGACTTTCAAGATTCAATTCAATTGAAAATAGAGCAGAAGAGGATCGGCCTTGAACCTTCATCCCTTCTAAATGTTAAAATACTGCTAAAGGTCTCAGAAGGGCAGCGGATCTGCACTTCTCCTTAGAGAGAGGAAAAAGGGAGATGGCAGAAGAAAGGGGAGAAAAGAGAAAGAGAGAAAGCTAGTAAAGCAATTGAATGAAAAATCAAAAGTATAAAGGGGACTTTTACTGTGCTTTATTAAAACATGCCCACTAGAGAAAAACTCGTAATATCCATGTACAAGACACTGGACAGCTTCACAGAATCAAATCATTTTCTGACTTTGCCTACAAATCATGTATTAAAACAGAAAATAATGAAGGGGACTATTAGGGAGAGTCATGGTGAGACAGCATATAAAGAAGAGATGAAGAAAGTAGAGGGTAAGGAAACAAGCTGACAAGACGTAAAAGATAAAAGATGGAAGATGTTGAGAGAGAGAGAGAGAGAAAGAAAGAGAGAAACTAGGCCACAGGCAGGAGGAGACAGCACGCTGGTGTTGTTTAAAGTTGAGCCATCGCAACCACTAAATCCCTGACGCTGCGTGCCAGGACTCATCCTGCCTCGTCCCCTGGTACCAGCGCACCTTTCAGAGCTTCACTCCACACCTCCACATCCATCTGTCTCTCAGTCTCTCTGGTCCCTCTCCTCTTTCACTAAGTTGTGTCCTCTCCAGCGCACAGCCTCTCTCTCTCTCTCTCTCTCTCTCTCTCTCTCTCTCTCTCTCTCTCTGTGTGTGTGGCGACAGAGGAGGGACGCCTTGCATTCATTTATTCATTTCCTAACCCAGTGCCCCTGACCCGTCCTCTTGAGGCTGCCGTTATGTCTGGTGGAGGGGAGCTTGTCTACACTTCCCTGCACTCATCCCTCCTTTCTTTTGTTCCTCCCTGCCTGTCTCCCAGTAGCCAGGCTGTCTCCCCTCCTGTTTCAGTGGTACATATTTTTGTGGGTCATCATGTTCTTCTGTTCAAGTCTCTCTGTTCTCTGTCGAACTACGTTCACAAACACACAGACACACAGCCCCCATACATCCACTCTCTGCGGTACATTTTCGTGTTTTCCGTGCACTGGTTTTCAGTTGTAGAAAACAAACAAATATGAATCAACAACAGAAATGTCATTCACACACCAAAGGTCTCATAGGAGCCCCATTCATTCCCACCAGCATTTCTATTACGGTTTCTGCAGTTTCATATGAAGAACTTGCGAGTACGCGACAACACCTCTGATATTCCCCCCATAAACATGTCAATTTAGCATCATTATCATAACTATTTGTCACCTTGTTCAAGGTCATTTTAAAGCTACAGTGTGTGATTTTTGACCATTTTGAAGAACACTGACATTTTCTTTCACCTTTTATTTTGATACGGTGAAGTTGTCAGTTGATCATTTACACATCAGATAGATATGGAGGAACATTATTATTCATCTGGAGTCATGTTTCTGGCTGCCAGACAAATGTAAGTCTGATATCCCCTCTGCTTTCAGCTCAGTTTGGGTCTCCACTTGTTTCTAATAAAAATGGCTGTTTGGCTGCTAAATGCTCCACCATGTTCTTCTCAACTTTGTCTGTCTGGCCGAGTACGGAGCTTTTTCGCTGAAAGCAGCTGCTTGATATCGCCCAAGAAAAAAATTGCTAAAAGAGTGAACCAAAACAGTGACCTAGAAGATGCTAACGTGACCTTGAGAGTTGGGTGATTATTTTCTGTGAGCTCATCACTGTGACACATTTCACATGCAAGTAGTAATCCATTGTTAACATGAAATCACTTATTAGAGCAGCTTTAAAGCAAACATTTCGTATTCAAATGTTGGATGGCGTGTGGGCGACTGAAAAAACGAATGAAGTGAAAGTTTGCTTTATAACTTATTGTGGCTTATTATTTGTCTACTGATTATTTGCAGACACCGTATACCATCCATTATGTTTTGTGCACATTCCTTTCAATTAAACTAGGTTTTGTTTATATTACAGAAGGGTGTTTTTAACCAGATGCTATGCACAAGATCTTTTACAGATGCTCATAACTCCCTCATGTAGTTTCCAGCTGTATCGCCTAAAAAAAACTAGGTTGCGCTTCATCAAGGATAAGACAAAAAGTTTGTACTTATGACATCATGACTTGAAACTCACGCTTAACCAGGATGACAAAACCACATCCCCTTTCTGCAAACAGTAGGCTGTGTGTCGGACCACCCGCATATCATAAGACAACAAAACGTGTGTTGAAACAGTTGCCACATCCTTTCACAGCATCAGAGCCATCACTAAGATACAGCATATTGTGACCTGAACAACGCATCGCTAGGCAGAGTCCAAAAGACAAACTAATTATTTTTCGCTCCAGACCTGAGGTTGTTGGGTTGCTAAGCAGAATAAATGCAAGTTTATCACACAGGAAAGACATCAGATTGGACATATCGGTCACTTCCAGCTAGGACACGAGTTCTGTGATCACAACTCAGGGTGAATCTGAATAAAGAATGGGAATCTGTATTCTGCACTCTTACAGGGACATTGACAAATTTATCTTAGACAGATGAATTCTCAGACTACAGTATGTCCTTGCCACATAAATGGCTGAGACCCGTGAAAGTTTCAGCTTGTTCGAGAGGTATGAAAATATCAAATTTGGATTAATCATAAAACATTTCAGAGCAGGAACAATATTCATAGACCTGGGTGTTGAATCATCAGCTGTTAATTAGCTCAAACTACATGATCTCATATTACGGTGAGGCTGAAGAGTCTGTTAATGCTCATAGGCGAATAAAGCCTCTAATTGAAAGTAGTTTCTTTTTTTCAGCCACATTTTCAACTACAAGTGTGTCTTCAACACTCTTCCACTGTTTCACTTGCAGTTAACAACAGAGCTGTTGGTTTCCCTGCCGAGACTTCTCAGCTTATCAACATTATTTTCCATGATTCATTCAGTTGCACTGTGGACAGTTGACCTTCAACATGGCAGTGCGGGTAAAAGGCACATGCTCTTTGTCGTCATAATGCTCAAAAAATGTGTCTGATCTATTAATAATATGCTGATTTCAAATTAGTGGCACATTGTATGTGCAAGGATGACATGACATTGTTCTTGCTTTCACAACTAAATAAAAAAGGCTTCTTTTAAAATACTAAAAATACTTGGACACACTAAAGATTCCTTTGAAAATGCGTCCTCAGTGAACTATTAAACACGAATCAATTACCTCAGTTTTTTCCTCAGTGTTTTTTCATGTGGCATTTTAATAGTTACACACACAGTTGTTATTGACATCCTGCCAATTCCTTCCTCCTCAAATAAATATCACTAGCTTCAAATCATTCTCAGCTTTTAAAATAAACAACTCTTGTGGTAAAACCTTCAATATAAAGCAAATTCCTGCAGACGTATAAGCTGAACGTTTCATTTAATTTCACGGTTATTTATGGTTTGTTTTGTTTAAATCTGAAATTAGCATTTGTCACATTTAACCTCATTTAAATACAAACTAGCAACTGCTTTTGACCAGTGTTGAACAATGTAACTCAAGGCTTCTGCATCTTTTCCTGTCCCTCGTTGTAAAAGATCAACAACTTACTACAGGTTTGCACAAACACAGACGTTTAAATGACAACAACTCAGTCGGTCTACTCATGAGTGAATGGCACAATATTCCAACAAAGTTACTTCACGGCACTGTGGTACATGTTGCATGTGTATAAATGTGTTTTAAATGCTTACTGAAAGCTGCCACAGCCAGTATGAGTGTGACCACGATGGAGATCCAGGAGACCCAGAGCGCCTTCTTCCTGTAGCTCTGGGCCTCATGGGGCTTCAGGCGCATGCTGCTCTCGAGGAGACCTGCAGTGAGACACATAAGCTCTGTTACAAGGACAACTCCTTCTGTCTTTTTCTTTGTGTTTTCTTTGTGTATTATAAAGCTCATTTTATGTAATGCTTTGTCAGCTTGGGGTGGGATAAGTGGTGATGTGAGCTAGGCTGAGAACAAGACGCTCTTCAGTGTTGAATAATCAGTGTTTGGTTCACTGAAAAAAGGTTGGCGTGTGTCTTCATCTTGGAGTCCACTGGAGCATTGCTGTAACAAATACTGAGGTAAAAAAAAAAAATTTACACTTTCAATTCATTCACTCCAGAAGTTATTTGAATGAGTAATTACATTCTGACTTCTTGATCAATTCCATAAAATAGAAGGTGTTTTGTTCCTGACTATAAGGATAAAGCCTCTAATATGCTAGACACACCAATGAGGTTAATGTCTAGTGTAATATAAGTGTCCCAATTCAGGGGCTGCTTCCCCAGGAGAACACTGTCTACGAAGGTGTGGCCCTTCATAGCCATCGTAGACCGCGAAGGCCAACCCGAAATGAGACGGTCTGGCCTATGGAGAGTTTTCACTTTGCATCACCAGCTGTGCCCACCCTTACGCTCCTGTCGCCTATAGCAACCTTAACAACACGTAACTTTTTTTCACAAAAAACACAAGGTTTTAAAGCCCTTGGTGTTAACAGTTGTAATGTTAGCTGTTAAACTGAGCTGAAACCCAATACTCAGCATTGTTTGCTGCCATATTATTTTCATTGCTGGTGTGCAATGAATCTTGGGATAGGTCAGGCCACGAAGGATCCACCTGTTGGAGCCTGTTTCTTTATAAATGCAGCCTCCGGAGGATGTGGCCCTTGAATTGGGACACAGCTATAGTGGCTTTCAAATCAACTAACAGCATATAAAGCTGACCACAAGAGCACACTACAGCGGCCATGTTTGTGCATGCTACAACATTTAGGTCAAAAGTACATTTTCCAAATGTTTTTTTTTTTTTTTTTTGTTAAACTAACAATTGTGTCAACTTTTCCGGTCTATTTACCCTTCAAGGAAAATTTTCTCAGTTTTCCCCAGGCCACAGGAAGGTCAGAGGTCAGGTTCTGCTCAATACACGTTCCTTGAACTGGTTGTTCATAGAAAAGTTTTGTCATTGTGTGAGGCACTTGTGACGAATCCACTACAAGAGGCCCATAGGCTTATCAATGCATAATTATTACTGCTTTGAACAATGAGGGAACTGTTTTTTTCCACCACCCTACATGAATCCTTCCTCTTACATAATCCTCATCACCTTCAAAGAGAGCACAGGGGCCACAGGGGATTTACACTGAGGGGCATAAAACCCTGTGAGACGCCTGGGGACCCTTGTTATACTGCAGATTAGAGTTCATAGGTGAAGCATAACACAGGGACAGCTTCTCAGGTTTAACTGTCTTTACTGACCATCACAGACCTACAGACTCCACCACGCAGACCACTCACAGCTCCAGAATACATGAACAGGATAAAGTAGTCCCTCAGAATAATTCAAAGACATTAAGAAATAAACCATTCAGAAAAAAAAACCCCAGCAAAGTCAATAAAAGTCAATCAAGCACATTACAATTCCTTGTGAGGACCATTAGACTCTGTCTGCTTTTTAAGGCACAATTCACTTCTAACCTCTAGACTAAATAGACAAAGTCATACAATACATCCCCTGATGGCTCCAAACCCTGTTTCTGTGGGAGAAGTCTCTGCCTGAAGTCACAGACAAAACAGCCCAGACTCTGAAGTGCCCGAAGCTGCTCCATTACCATGAAATGTGAGGCTGGCTCTGCAGATTCATGTAATATTTAGAAGCCTCAACTTTTGCATCCAAAAGGGCTTTTGATGCTACTAGTTGTCATTCTATCCAGAAATTTGTCTCTGTGTTTTCTTCTTGGACTGCTATAGTGCGGCTACATAAATAGGCAGTAAATGGGAGCTAATGAAAGGAAAAACAAGGCTCCTTTAAGCTTTGAACATACTAAACCAAATGTTCTGGATGTAATTTAATAATCATATTTGGAAATTACTTGAATGTTTTAATTTAGGCCTCGGCTTTTTTATATTTGAAAGGGGGACAGTTTACCAAAGAAAAACTTTTTTTTTTTTGTGTATAAAACTGCTTTGGGGGAATTTTCTCTCACTGTCTGTGCGTCACAGAGAGGGACTCCTTCCAGAAGCAACAGCTGATAGAGAGCTGATAAAGTCATGTGATTGTTTTATAGAGTAAGAGGACCTCTATACAGCTTCTAACGGGACACAACTGATGACCGCGTCAGTTTTCAGAAGTGAGTAATCAAACAGTTTTAAGAGTTAAAGTAGAACTACAGTGTTTTAGTGTTGCACTTCCATACATGTTGGGGATCTGCAAAAGACTCAGGAAAGATTTTAAAGAATGGTACAAATCAGTGCACTCCTTAATCGCTCATCTGGGTCAAGCTCCAAAAATGTTAGATCATACATTTCCCATAATGCAACCCATGGCACATATTTAGGTATGTCCTCTCTGCCTGTTAAATTGTTTCAAATTCTGCATGTACAGTTTGTATTGCAGGTGTTTTATTAGGAATTTGGTCCTAACAGAGGTTCCCCAATTTCCATCCAAAAGCTTGTTGCTGGGGCAGTACATTACAGTACCCTTTGTCCATTTTATACTCCTACAATCCAATACTGTAATCGTACCAAGAATGTCACATTTATTTGACTCTTCCTTCTTTTTTATCTTTTTTTTTTCTTCCCAATCTGGAGTAGTCAGTTCACTCTGCCTGCAGGTCTTCATGTTGCTAACTCCAACTGTCTAGTGTGGGTGTAGACAGAAGGAGAGTGTAGACAGAGCATCCAGAGGGAGATGGTGCTGCTACTAGAATACAATCCCTCACCAGCTTCCCACCAACTGTTTTTTTTTTTTAAAGACAGCCAGACCTTTGCACTCCAAGCTGTACACTACTTCAGCTGACTTTGGTTTAGTTCAGCTAATTATCTGTAACTGTCAGACACTTTTTATATCCAAGTCTGTTATGATGCATCTGTAAAGAAATATATACTTTTTGATACAAAAATGTACAGCTCCTGTAATCTGAGGCAAAAACAGCCAGTATGCATTTAACTAGTTGAGAAATCTGGTAGCTTTAACTTCAACCTGACATCTTCAGTTTTGTTGATATTTAGCATTTTTACATCCATATTTTATTACATTTCATGATGTGAAATCAATTCATCGGGTTGTAATTTATTTCTTTGAAGACAAAACTTCAAAGAAAATTAACACAAGGCTTTTTGCCGAAAGGGGGTTAAAAATCATCTGGAAGGCCTCAGCTGGGGCAGGGGCAGGATCAATTTGCCGCATTATTGGCAAATTAAGTCAACTGTCACACTGTCCAGCTGAGTGTGTGTGTGTGTGTGTGTGTGTTTGTGTGTGTGTGTGTGTGTGTGTGTGTGGGGGGGGGGGGGTTAAGTAATGCTAACAAAAAAAAAAAAAAAAAAAAAAAGAAAAAAAAACAAAAAAAAAAAAAAAAAAAAAAAAAAAACAAAAAAAAAAAAAAAAAAAAAAAAAAAAAAAAAAATAAAAAAAAAAACAAAAAAAAAAAAAATGTCCCAGTGTGTTGGTCTGTGTAAACATCCCTCTAAGAAACATGTTGTACATGTGCATGTGTGCTTTGTACAGGGAGGGATTCATATGGAGCAACATGTAACAAAATATATATATATATTTACATTAACTTAAATCATGCAAACTACTGATCAACTCTGTCTGCAGTTTGATCTATAAACATCAATAATTATGTTATAAGTCAAACGGTATATTTGACATTTTTTCTTGATTGCAAAACACAGGTTTTATAACCAGTGACTGGACATGCTCTGTTAACACTGAATGAGTTTTCTATGGATATTATTTCCAGTAAATGCAGGATCACTAATCAGTGAAGCTTGAGTGAGTGGAATTTTCCAAACACATCAAACACTCATTTCCTCAACTACAAACTGAAGACAAATTCAAATGTTAAATAAAACTGAACTAAACTTTTTAGTGTAAAACCATATTAGCTAAACTGGCTAACCAGCTTGTGTTTGTCTGTGTGTGTGTGTGTGTGTGTGTATGTGTGTGTGTGTGTGTGTGTGTGTGTGTGTGTGTGTGTGTGTGTGTGTGTGTGTGTGTCTGGCAGAGGGGGAAGTGACACAGCATGGTTAAATCACTCTGCTCACATGATCCCTGGCTGGGGGTTCAGACAAGAGGCATGTGCTCAACATCTCCTCATACAGCGCTCCGTGACACACACACACAGTCTTGTGTGGGTGGGTGGGTGGCTGGTTGTGAGTGTGTGCCTCTCTCTTGACACTTGTCTCTGTCGCACCTCTCTTTTCTAAAAATAATTAACATCAGGCATCTTGCTCAAAAGGCTGATTACACACCTCTCGTACACGTTCGCAAGAGGAGACACGTGACTGAATATAGGCCTAAAACCCGTGGGAGAGGAATGACCCAAAAGAGATAAATAATTACTTTTTTTAAATAATTTTAAAGTCTTCTCTTAACTTTCCCTATCATCCTTACTGCAATGCCATCAGACATCATTAAATCAGGAAAGGAAAAACTCTCTGGCTTGGATTAACCATGATCAGAAACCTGCAGAGGGTTTCTTACAGCATCGGCAGGGACATTTATGTAAATAGGAGAGAGATGAGGAAACCGGGGGAGGGAGGGAGGGAGGGAGGAGGGAGCGTATGAATGTCTGCAATATATTGTGTTGAAATGTGTGTTTGCATGATTGCACGTTGGTTCAAACCTCGCTTTTGCGTGAAATATTCAAATTGCTTGACGTTTAAAGGAAAGTTTTCCCCTTGGTGCCTGCTCACATCGCTTTTAATATCTCTGTGATCTATATAGAAGCTAACAACCTTTATTTACAGTACCTCACCCAACATCACAAGCAAAGTAACACAATGGACTACGTGCAATTAAAGGGACATTCCACCAATTTTACACTTAAGAATCACCACAACAGTCAGGATTAGTAATGCTTCAGCTTGTTAAAACCATTGAACAACGACGCCTATGGTTCTCGAGGAGTTTTGTCAAATCTGAGAAAAGAATTCTGTCATGTCATAACGAGCGCTGTTCAACGGAAAGCCTCACAAACTGAAAGTGTGAAGTCGGAAAGATGTTCACCAGGCAGAATGAAAGACGCTCTTGAGTTGCAGTGGATCAAATGTTTTTGGAACTTGACCCATATGAGGGATAAAAGCTGGTAGCTATATCTCTGCTGCTTTGATTTCAACCGTTTCCACCATCTGTCTCTCACAAGCTCTGCGGAAGTGTGACACTGAATCACTGGAGCACTCCTTAAAGGGATCAATCGTCCTCAAGAATCAATCTGAGTTCAAATCTTTCAACTGATCAGTGTCTTAAAGCCATTGAAGGAACCAGAAGATCTTTGTTTTTTTGTTTTTTAAAGACGAAAAAGATGTTGTTCTTCTAAAATCCTTCATTCTGACCTTATATTTATCTTTTCTTGAGTAGGCACAAGGTGGATAGATGATTCCAGCTATTAGAAATTATCCAAATCCATAACACTGACTGCAATAACCATGTTTCCTATAACATGCTCAAACATTTGTAGAATATAGCAGGGAAATCTACACCATTTTGATTTACATGACAGATATCCCTTGAAGCCAGATCTAGTGAACATACATTACATTTAATAAACCTACTGAAAGCCTATATAAACTGAGCAACAGGCTCAGGATCTATTGTATAACTGAGGCCCTCTTGTTATCCACTGTGGAATGTTTTGTTTCACAGGTTTTATGCATATTAGATGATGAATGATGAATGGGACTATACTAGTAGAAAAATCACACACACACACACACACACACACACACACACATGTGGTTAAGCAAAGGTAAATGCACACTTAAGGGTTCATAGGACATACATGTGATTGGTATTAGAGTTCAGCCTGTTCTGAGGAACAATTTAATTCCCTCAGGCAACTTTGTCCCCTGAGGCAATGCAATGTCTAAAACTGAGAGGAATGACTGAATGAATGAATGAATGAATGAATGAATGAATGAATGAATGAATGCCTTTGGGGACTAGAAGCAATTTAACAATGCTATAAGCTTTGAATTCAACTTCTGAACATCTGAATCCTGCTGATGTAGGACTATCATAAATTATTCAGGTAAGAGCTGAACTAAAAATATCTCTCATGGGTAAAAATACCCCTTCCATCTCCCCAGGGTGCCCCCGCCCCCAACCACACACACACAAACACCCCAACACTCACAAATCCACATCCATAAGTTAAAAAAAACAACAACAAAAAAAAAACACATCCAAACATGACAGAGACGGATGAAGTTACCTTCTCCCTCCACACTGTCTGTGATTCTCATCTCCTGGCCCGTGGTGAACGGCTCTGGCTGGCCGGGGGGTTTGTCTTGCTGGTGATGGTTGTTAGTGAAGCCATCCGGGGCGCACTGGCCGTTCCGCACCGTGGCGGGGCAGGGATCCACAATAGTCGGGTCTGGGACAGGGTAGGACTCTTGGGTCGCCGGGTCTGACATTGTTTCTGCAGTTGTTGTTTTGTTGTCAGACTCAGAGGCAGAGGATGATGAAGATAAAGAAAGGGGGGAAAAAAAAAAGAAAAAGAAAAGATTCACACCGGTTCGATAAGTGCAGCAGCCATCCAGCGCGTCCAATATGCCACCGGTGTCGACTCAGTTGCGCAGGGGAGGGAGATAAGAGATGGCGAGAGAAGAGGAGGAGGAGATGGGGGATAAAGGATTTATCTCCCCGGCATCAGCAGCGAAACCACTCCCTGTGTGTGTGTGTGTGTGTGTGTGTGTGAAGTCCACACTGCGAGGAACAGCTCTACAGACTGGATGTAAACACCCTGTCCGGCTCACTCACTTACAGAGACTTTAGGGTTAGATGCGGCGATGCGATAAATCGCTGAGATCCGCTGTGAATCTTGCAGGCGGTGCCAGCAAGTTTTTTTTCCTCCTCCCCTTCCTCCTTCTCTCCTCCTCTCAGATCTCAGCGCTTCTACAGACCACTGCACGAAACACTCAGTGACATCTGTCCGGAATTACTCAGGGATTTTCTACAAATTAGCTTTGATTTATGCATGAGACGAAACTTTAATGGAGCCGTTATGCATCAAGCAACATGTAAAGTCAAGAACAACAGATTGTCTCTGCTGATGACTCCATAATAATGTCACATGACACTTTTATCAGTTTATTTATCTCATAATCAGGTAAACATCTTTATTGATGGTGCGTTCTCCTTCGAATCTCAGAATTGCCTCGTTGATGATCAACTATCAAATTCAGAGAAATCAACTATTTTCACACCTTAGGCATTTTTACCTGCCTGCTGCCTTGACTCGTAATACCTTCATCACCAGGCTTCAATATTAACCATCAGGGGGCGCCACAACACAGGGCCGTGAGCAGGTGAGAAGAAACCCTGACAAGTATCACATGCCACATTAACTTGTTCCAAAAGTTAGTGAATTTCAACTGAGCTGCACAGAAGTGCTGCTTTAAACCGCGCGCGCGTGTGTGTGTGTGTGTTGGTGGTGGTGGTAAGAGTGAATAATGAAGTTAGAGACAATATCTCTTCATGGTTCAGAATATCAGCTGCTAACAGTGTTAACCAGTCTGGTCAGACCTCTGGTTACTGTCTGTTTGTTGTACAGATTAGGTAATAAATGACAAGGCTTTCCCAGCAGGCATTCACCTGTTGGTCATTGGCTTCAGGCTGAGGGCAGGGAGTGGATTCACTAGTCGTGTGCGCAGTTATTGCTAGAAATCTCTCTGAAGCAGAACTCTCAACTTTTCCCGCGGGTTATCCAACCAGGATGAAGGTTGATATTCATAATCATATTTTACCAAAGGACTGGCCCGATCTGAAGCAGGTAGGCACAAGTACATGAAGGATCTGCGCGCCGTTTGTCACAGCCTGGTGCCTTAACCTTGAGCCTTGACACACACAATTTATGGGCTAGATCTAATTTTGTGTGGTTCAGTGGGTTTACAAAAAAAAACACACACACACACACACACATCTTTGTATCAGTTCTGTGTCAGGCAGAGGTTCTCCTTGAATCCAATGCTATTAAATACCAGCAGCCTGAAATAAAATGTAGAGGCATTTCCCATTGGAGTGTCTGCAAGGAGTTTAACAGCTCACTCCAAAAGTCTGTCTTCTCTATGGATGGTTAAACTTTAATCAATAGGAGGCTCCGGCCTTGCGCTGTCTGATCCTGCTCTTATGTCTTTGTCACTGTGGAGGCCTGGCTTTAGCTAATCATTTCCCACATTTATTGCTGGACAGGAAACATTGCCTGCAAATGCTCCCACAAGCTTTCTATTACTCTTTCTTTCTTTCTTTCTTTCTTTTCTTATTACTGTATTTTCAGTGGTACAGTAGCCTACAGTTTCACTTATGTAAACATTTGTCTTTGAATGCATGCAAGCACAAACATTTAGTGTAATTAATTTACATAACACTGTATATCCATACCAACCATACCAACATAAGCAGCCATGGGACTTGATAACCTGACCGAGTGACCAGGTGAGGAAAACTTGGAAATGTCTTTTTGGTACAAAGAAGTAAAAAAAAAAGAAAAGAAAAGAAAGAAAAAAAAGAAAAGAAAGAAATCAGTGCACACAAAGATTATTTAACCCCTATGTTCAACACATGTTGAGTTTGTTTTGAAATTGTTTTAGAGAGGTGCTGATTCAACTTTATGGTCATTTTGGAGGCTGTAGTTTGTGGTGCTGTTGAGTTTTATTGCATCATAACAACTGGTGTTTTTGTTATTTCCACTCCTCTTATTTCAATGAGGGTGGGCTAAATAACAGAAAAAAACCCACTGTATAATGTAATACAGTTCAACAAAGCACAGCAATTATAAAACATTGTTATTACACCATTAGAGGACAAACTGAAATCCAAATACATGTATTTGGGATTTGTATTGGTTGCCTAAGAAGTCCTGGAAAGATCAACAAAATCCAAGTATTAACCATGTTTTACAACTGGCGTCTCTAAAAGCCCAAACAGAGCTAATGCATCTTTCTCAGTAGTGGACAGTGTTTTTTGAGCTGGTAGACGGCCTGGTGTCGCAGGACTTTAAACAGAGAATTAATTTCTTAACATTTCTACCATTGAACTGTTATGTATTTATTTCACTAAAAGCAGGCTGTCATTGAAATAGCCACTGCAAGACATCACACCTTTAAAAGTTAAAGGGTGTAAAACCCACTTTGCATTTTGAAAAGCTGAAGCTTCTCTACCTCTATCTATTTACTAAGTACACCGTTCTGCTGATCTGGAGGGATATGAAGTGGGGCTTTACTGGCTGTATTGCTCACATAGATCGTCTGCGGCTTCATTTGTATGCAAAAGAATCAACAGCCTCAGATGGCATTCACTGTTGATCCAGGGCGTTGGAGTGGATAGTCTTCTAGGAAGAAAATTGAACCCTTGCAAATGGGATAACACAATTTATAAAGGCTTTTTACCAAAGTGCATGGAGAATAATAAACCATGCTCTTCTTTATCTTTACAGATTTTAAAACAAAAAATAATAATAATAATAATAATAAATGTAATCTAATGCATCTATTTTGTATAATGTGATATTTAAAAACTGTACATTTATTAATTGTGTTTTGCATGTGTTTCAGAGGTATGGATATGATGGGTTTGTCCAGCTGCACCATCACTGCAAGGTGAGTCAACATACATCTAGATATATATATATATATATTATATATATATATATATATATTTCTATGCAGACAGAAAGGGCACAGGTACAGGAGCACTTACGCAATTGTACTGCGCACTATGCTGGGCACACAGCAGGTTCTTCCCGGCTGCACCCCACCCTGTGGACCTGTCAGGCTGGCCCTGGCTCTGTGAGCAGCTGCAGAACTCAGCACGTTGCCACTGCGTCAGCAGAGACATTCACTTCAAACACAGCGGCAACACAACAGAACGCAGAGCAGACTGGCAGCTGTGTGGCCGATGCAACTTTTTGCAGAAGACGTTGGTTGAACTTTTGCCACCAGCTAATTGAACATGCGGACTAATAGTGGAATGTGTCACACTGATGCATACAAACAAAAGCTGTGTCTGTTGATGAACATCTGTTTAAGTACAGATGCCAATGTTAAAAGCAAGATCTGACAGGACTCAGAGCCAAATTGTAACATCCAAGATAAGAGATTGTTAATTACAGCAATTAAAAGGAAGGATAAACTAGCCAGATGTTGTTTGTGTATTTAGGTCTGTAATTAAATTCATATGAAAAACAAGTACTATGTGTACCATGAAAGTATGACTCAGCTGCCTGCTGCCATCATGTGGTTGTATTTTGAAACATTATAAAACCCAAAAGTCACATGAGCTTGAAAAATTGTGAATGATAATGAGTGAAATGACAAATAGCAAGGACAATAAATCTGCCAAAGTATCCAGACTCTACAATGGAGAGACAGTGAACATCTTAAGAGTAGTCATATCAGTTGGGGATGTGACTGGTGTTAATGCTGTGTTCCAGGGTGAAGCTAAGATGATGAAGGATGGGAAGCTGTTCCGAGTGATTCAAGAGAACTGCTGGGATGCAAGCACACGCATACAAGACATGGATCAACATGGTACGTGCACAGACATGAAAGACGTAAACAAGTGTTACAGCTTGTCATCTTACGGATGACTAAAAACAATGTTTCTGTATAATATTCAGGTGTGACGGTTCAAGCCCTTTCTACTGTCCCCGTGATGTTCAGTTACTGGGTGAGTGCACGTGAAGTCAGAGCAAATGAGATCAAAAACAATGCAGCTACAGTATCATGTTTTATTGCTGAGTGCCTGAAACTACGGAGTATTGTTTACTGCGCCCTCACTTATTGCGAGCTCCGTCTTCCCACTCATGCTGAAAAAAAGCAAATTAAATTTAACTTCTTTTGAGCAGTACCATGGTGGATTATATACTTGCCTGCAAAGCTGCTAAACTGTCTTTTTGTTCATCTCACACATATATTTACCTGTTTTCATTTTATTTTTGGATTGCAGGCCAAGCCTCATGACACGCTGGATCTCTGCACCATTTTAAACGACAATTTGGCCCAGACAGTGCGTAGCCACCCCAAGAGGTTTGTGGGCCTGGGAACGCTGCCCATGCAAGCTCCTGACTTGGCCGTCCTGGAGATGAGGCGCTGCGTGAAGGAGCTGGGATTCCCTGGGGTGCAGATTGGCTCACATATCAACAACTGGGACCTCAATGCCTCTGAACTCTATCCCTTCTACGCTGTGAGACATTTCATACTATAGTATACGCTTATATCATAATATTCCTGGTGATAGTAGTTGCAAATGTGCCAATGTGTCCGATGTTTACAATTCACTGGTTAGACTTAATGACTGCAGTGACATTCCTTTGTATTCATAGGTCAGTTTCTCTTTCATGGAGAAATACTGATCTTGCAGTGTGTCCACCCCACAGGCAGCTGAGGAGCTGGGCTGCTCTGTTTTTGTCCACCCGTGGGACATGCAGACAGATGGGAGGATGGCTAAGTATTGGCTGCCCTGGCTGGTGGGTGAGGGAGATAGAGTAGGAAGAGTAGATATTAAATGTCTCCCTCCCAAGAAAATAACTTTTCTTGCAATCTGTTTGTCTGAAATGACTGAAACTGAGCCATAAATATCTCTGCGTAACAAACCAAACTAAGAGCAAAAACACAGCAGTAGATTATGCCTACTATTATTATTGCCCATAATGTTTCCTATAATAATTGATGAAACCATCAAAACCAAATCATTGCAGTCCCCCGCATGTTTAAAATCGCCAAAATTTTAGCTTTTAGTATTTTAGCTTTCATATCGTATTTGATGAATTGTGATCATGGTTAATGGTGATCAATCATGCTCCATTTTGTTTGTCACTTAGTATACTAACCCACTTACACTGCCATACAATACCAAGACATTCCATTACAGTTTGAAAAGAGAGATTATATTTTGTTGTCTTTTCCATCACAAAGGCATGCCCTCAGAGACAACCATGGCTATTTGCTCGATGATATTTGGAGGTGTCTTCGAGAGATTTCCTAAACTGAAAGTCTGCTTTGCTCATGGAGGTAGAGAAGTATTTTAAACGTAGCCTTCAAAGCATTCTCACTTCCTGCACAGTTTAAGGTGTAATGAGACTCTGTGTGTTGTCGTTTGACCTTAAATGTATTTTGTTCATCTGGTTACAGGTGGCTCTTTCCCATTCACCGTCGGCAGAATTGAACACGGCCACACAGTCCGCCCTGACCTGTGTGCAGTCGACAACCAGATCAGTCCACGGAAATACCTTGGCTCGTTCTACACTGACTCCCTAGTTCATGATCCCACCTCCCTGAAGCTGCTCATTGATGTTATTGGAAAAGTGAGCTTCATTCATTCATTTCTGTAAAGACTCCGAGGGAGTGTTGCAGTGTCGAGCATGGAGAGTGAGCGGGTAGATTGAGCACATCAGCAGTTATTCCTGTCATACCACTTTAACCTTAGATACAAAAACTGTGTACCAGGGCTCATTAAGGTCGCACACTGCTCCTCTGTGTGTGGAGGCATTCTGATTCTTTACAGTAATTCTGCTGATGACAGTAACTATTCCTGCCTTCAGCACTTTGACAGAAATACTGTCGATGAGCTCAACGTTGTTTTCTAAATTCACACATGTGTATTCCTCTTTTAAGGATAAAGTGATGCTGGGAACAGATTATCCATTTCCACTGGGTGAGCTACAGCCGGGATCACTGATTGAGTCAATGGATGAGTTTGATGAGACACTAAAGGTAACAATATTTCCCTCTCCTTCATTTAGAAAGTGCACATCAGTGTTGCTGTCATGAATTGACTCTATAACACATGTACACAGGTATAAAAGGCTTGTCAGGAACACAGTGCAGTCTGATGCGTATTCCTTTCATTGCAGGATAAATTGCTTGCTGGAAATGCACTGGAATTTTTGGGACTGAAACGTGAGCAATTTGAGTAACATAAAAATCTCAAATACAATTGCTATACCAAGTGATTCAGTGTAACAGCTTTATTCAGATATACATATTTTGATGATACAAAATATCCTGAAGCTTGTATAGTGATAACCAATTGTAATACGGTTTGTTATAATAAAGTATTTTACTGTCAGCATTGTTATTTGTATTGAGCTCAATATAAAACACAAGTGTCCCTGAGAACGGAAATGGAGACTGATTGACGTGCATGAAGGGAATAATTACAATTACATTACAATTGTGTTTTAAAATCAGCTCTTATATTAAATGTGGTAAATATAATGTTTTTTCCATCTTTCCATCTGTCTTCTCTGTTAGAGGTCATGTGTCAGTCACTGGCCTAGAGACATTTTATAATCTATAAATTCTTCTGAGGCTGCCAGTCACAATGCCATCTGATGGCTTATTATGCGTCCTCTTAATGCTCATCTTTGGCTAACATTAACTCAGCTCATAAATAAAAAATCATGCACCCAGTTGACGAATTTTCCCCCATCTCCTAAATATACACAGTTATGATAGTAGGTATAATTCAAGTTGTGTGGTCTTTAACGAAGTCAATTATTATTGTTGGTTAATGGGTTATACAAATTCATTGAAAGGAATTGACCTAATTGAACGCACTGTCGTTCAAATGTGAATTAATTCATTTTAAATGATCACAGACAATGTCATTTCCTGTTATATCGGCACAAGAATATTTACAAATGTGCACACCGCAGCCCCAGTGTGTGGATACGAGACATGCACCATGGTCGTACATCCATGGTTCTCACCAACGAAAAAGTCGTTGTTTCCTGTGCGACATCGCCCTCACATCCGCTTTACAGATGCCCGAGTGAACGTTGGAGAGCAATGGCGGCGTGCCGGGGGTCTTCGTCGAAGTGGTTTTTCACCCGGGAGCAGCTCGAAACCACGCCGTCCCGCCGATGTGGAGTAGAACCAGATCGGGAGCTCTCCTACAGACAGCAAGCGGCGAATCTGATCCAAGATATGGGCCAGAGACTCAATGTGTATCCTTTTGTAAACAAACTTATCCCTCGACCAGACTGGAAGCAGACATGGCGCTAACGGTTGGAGCGGGCCCATTACGTTACTCATTTTGAAGAGACCGCTGGGATTAGGGAACAAGTTTCGAGGTTTTTTCGACTTGTATGTTTTGTTTTTGCGTTGGTTAAAATCTTGTTTTACTAAGAAATCTTCATGTGAAATCTCGATGTTGTGATTGTACGTTTAGCTCTACGCTAATGTAGAACGTTAACTAGCTAGCTGAGGGTTGACGTCTGATAGGCCGTTAGGCTAGTTTGCAGCTGCTGCTAATCACTTGCCCACAAAAATCTGACGGTTCTTGCCTCTTCCACGCGGTATAGCTTGGTTTAACAAATAACCGCGTCCTTCAATAGACCAGTAAGCTGACGTATGAAGTTTTTATGTGTCATTTTCTTGTGATATTGATGTTACACTAGTATAATTAGCATAAAGCTAAGTCACCTGCTACACAGTATCGTCGACTCAGCTCTTAACTTTTCTTTACCCGGTTAAAATAAAATAATACTTAAAATTTAGCGCTCATAAGTCGCCCATTAGTGTGTCTTGGCTTGACAGAATAGTGTATAGCTGTATTGTTCATGGATTAACTTAATTATTTCCCAGAATTGTCCTTGACCCCCACTTCCAGCTCTCAATTAACAATAAATACAGCCATTGTTTACATGCATAGATTTTATATGCACCATTCCTTCACCAAATTCCATAGAAATGTAAGTATTATGTTTCTTAATACTACTCTTGACCTGTAACTTATTACACGTTAGATAGACTGTGACATCCTTTAGGTAGTTTGGGTTTGGATTTAAATGTCTTGATGCTTTTATACAGATAATATCTCCAACCACCTTATTCTTGGCTGCAAAAGTGGAAGAGCAACCTCGGAAACTCGAACATGTGATCAAAGTTGCACATGCTTGCCTAAATCCCCAAGAACCACCTCTAGACACAAAAAGTAATGTAAGTTCGGGAAGCTCTGCATGTTGAATGGTTGAATGTTTTTTTCCCCCTCCACATCTGGCTTTCGAGTTCTCTCAGTGGTCATGGTTTCCCTGTGTACAGTATAACTGGCTGTGCTGCATTCCTTCGCCCTGTACAAAGGGTCTTATTTTTACACATCTGGCCTGCTGTTGGTGTGCAACAAACACCTGCATCTTACCAAGATTAACATTAATAGTAAAATGAGCCTCTCTGTTTGGAGTTTTGGCCATTTGAAATCAGTTGTTAGAGGGATAGATTAATAGACTCATTACAATTGTGTTGTAATGACTGTCTATCAAACTTCAGGCATACCTCCAGCAAGCTCAAGAGCTGGTGATACTTGAATCCATAGTGCTGCAGACCCTGGGTAAGTAGTGGTGACTGGAGTGGATGACTTGAGCGAGAGAGAGCACTTTTGTTTTTCATAATCATTATCATTGGCTTACATTATCAATAAGGGAGTAGTGCTATTGATCACTGATTTTATTCATCACAGCCTGTTAAGTGAAATGTTTTATCAGCTACTGTATGGGTATCATGTCAAATATGTATTTTCAATAAATCGTGTAAAGGTGACATGTCATTCTTGTCAATGCTGACATTAGTCGTAAACTCTGCTATTGATAAGGCTTTAGGGAATTTTTACGGTCATTTTTGACTAATTATATCATCATTTCGCTGCTTTGCAACATTTTATTTTACAGCTACAACAATTCTTGCTCACTTATTGACTACATTTGAAACTGAGAGATGTCATTCTAAGTGAAAGTGGTCGGAGATGAGTTGACTGCACTTAATCTGGAATATCTTGTAACACACTTGAATGAATTGGCCATCAAGCTCCACTATTCACATTTCTGTCTGAATCAATATCCTTTAAAACAAGCGCTACATTGGTTTGTTGAATCTTAAAATGACATGTCACCTCCCAACTGTGTTTGTGTTAAACTCACCTGTCATGTATTTTGTTCCAGGCTTTGAAATTACTATTGATCACCCACACACTGATGTGGTGAAATGTTCCCAGCTAGTGCGAGGTAGAGGCTTCCTTCTTTGCTCTTTGTGCCCTCTGGTCTTGTTTTTCCCACCTCCAGATATGGGTGGGGAGGGGGGTGAAAAACCTTGCTGATTTAATGGTTACATAACCACACGCCTTGTTCTTTTTTTCTTTTGATGACCTTTTGAGTTCATTATATGACACAGCACATAAACCGCAACATTGACTGGTGCTTGTTGGGCCAAGTCGAAGACTGGATTTTAATAATTTGTTATAGGGGTTTGCAAATTCATTCCCCCTATGAGATTAGCAGTAACTGGAAAAGAATAAGTAGCAATAGTTTATTCTTTACATATTGTAGATATACATGCAAAATCACATGTAAATCGATCAAACTAGTGCCTTGAACTCAGTTCCACTGTTCAACAAAGCATTCAATTACTTGTCTTTAAAATTGCTTGGAGTGATTAATTTGCTACTGCAACTGTATTTTTGTAAAATGAGAACATAATTTAATCATGATGCAATAACACTGAAAGCAATTTATTGATAATATTGGATTAGATTGGATCGCCTAACTTTCCCTCCAGATTTAATTTAGAAAAATCATCTAGCATACTGAAAATTTCCAAAATGTGGCAACAGTTGGTGCCAATTGTTGTTTTCAGTCTTGGTCTTGGCTTAATCAGTGCAATGAAAATGATCTTAAAAAAAGGCAAACATTCAGTTCTATCCTAATGATAACAAAATGCTTTGCTTTGCATAAATGGTAATCATTCTGCCCTTCCTTGTTTTTCTCTTCTTCTGTTTGTCTCTTACAGCAAGCAAGGATCTGGCACAGACTTCCTATTTCATGGCTACCAACAGGTTGTTATCCTGCCCCTCCTTTGTTGCACTTTGACTGCACACCATAGCTTCCAGTAATGCAGGGTACCCTTTCAGTGTCCAACGGGCCCTACTTGCGCTGGTGGTTGTTGGGACGCTTGCCTCCTCCCCCTCAGCTCCCCTCCCTTGTTCAAAGGAAGTGGGACAGGCTTGTAGCGTTACCGGCCCCAGTCGCAGTGCGGTGTATTGTACAAGGGACCATGTGTTGGCACAGATGGGTTGAATGCAAGATGTGAAGTGTAGTGGTGCGCTTGAAACCCACATGTTTGTTCGGTTGCGAAAAAGTGCATAATTCTAAAAGAGAAAGACACTTTGGTAGCCTGAATAGCAGCTAAAGATTTCACAGATGTAAACATTTCTCGTAGAGGTCCTTCCGGTAAGTACCGCAAATTCATTTTTAAAATTTTCTTTTTCACATCCATTTGTTCAAAATGCATTATCTCCTCAGATATTCTCAACTTTTTCAATATTTGCTTGTCTTTTTTTCCTTGCTCTATCACATTCTTATCTACATGTAGCTTATGTAAAATATGTGTCAAGAAAAACCTAATCGTGACCCATTAAGGACCTGCAAAATATCTAATGCGTATAACATATAGTATTTCTCGTATATATCAAAATGCATTTGGTGAATATGAATTAAGTCAGGACAAAATGTCTTTCTTGACACGTCTTTTAGTAGAAAAACTGGGTCCTTAAAGGGTTTGTTCAAAGTAGGCAGTGGTGGAAATGGTATGGTATTAATGGAATTACCTTTGTTTTCAACTACTCCAAATCAGTAGACAATGTCTGGACGCTGTGAATGGTGTTAGAGGTTTTGGTGCTTTTTAAGAGTGAAACCTGTAACCTACTGATTGTTGTTAGAATCTCTCAATATTCTTACAAATTGATGATTTTAATTTAGTTTTGAAGACTCACATGCTTAATGTTTGAAATTATTTTCAATGTATAAATTAATGGGAGAGAGGTGTTTTGAGAGGAGTTATCAGACAGATGCTTGTAAATGTCAGCTGTGACTGATAGCTTTGTTTAAGGCCACTGTAATCTGGCAGACCAGACTCCAGACATTGTACTTGTCTCACTGCACAAGGTTACCATCCAGCTTTGACCAAAATACAGCATTGTGAAGTTAAGGCTGTTCATACTGTTGAATCTAGCTATAACATGGATTAACTTTTCCTTGAGAATCTTTTGTTCGTCATGGCTGCAATATCATATTCATGGCTTAAGTGTCTGAAATAATTGCGGAGAACCAATTTTCAACTTAAAAAAACAGCGTCAGTGCTGAAGTTGATTAACTGATTTATCTGGTTCACCAAAAGTGAACTTGATAACAAAGAACCAAAACCTTGGGGAGTTTAAAAATGTTTAGTCGCAGCTTGTGTCTATATTTTAGTTTTCAATACTTGGATGGTAGCCACTTGTCTATTTCTATTTGTTATTTTGACTGTGATATGAATATGTTGTACTGTCTGATTATGATCTATACTTGCATTACACTCTTCAATTCCATTGTTGTAGAAGAGTAGGGTTGAGTAATAGGTCAGTAAGCTAAGATATTTAATTTAGAAAGGCTTAGCAGTATTGAGAGCATAGACCTTAGTGTATGCAGCACACTGGCAGCACTGCTGCTACATTATATTTGTTGAGTTGGAGGACCCACTAGATTTATCCCTTTTTAACACAGTTCAAAGAAAGAGAGACCCTACAGAGAGGGCTGTAGGAGCAGCCACCTGTCAGTTCATTGTACAATTATGCATCTGTCACATGGGTGGCCTCAGGGTTGTGTGTTTCACAATGGGCAGACTACACTTAGCTACTACACATGGCCCCCCACTCACTTCCCTCACTTTTGTTTTGATGTCCCAACATTTTAACCAGCTGAGTTCCTTAAAACATAAATCATTGTCTCATGACACTTTTAACTTCTTACTTTTAAGCACTGGAAAATTGTGTCCTTTTACATTACATGGATTGAAAAGTTGATGTTACCTGTGTTGTTACCAGTTTGAAGTGAGAAGCTGTTACATTATCAGATCAAGTTTAATGTATCAACACAATCAAATTATGGCCTGTCTTTTGCAACCAATGCCACCAGTAAATTAAAGTTGTCTGCTCCCTCTTGTGTTTTTTTCTTTTTTCTCCACATGTGGGACCAATCCTGACCTCACCTGGCCTGAACTGACTCACTCCCATACCTACACCTTCACATATGTGAAATATCCACTGTTTACACACACTGCACACACTCATCACTTGCGCATACCCTCACACATTATACAGTCTACACCTCACTACCTTCTGCCTCCAGTACAAGCCCACGGTGATCGCCTGTGTGTGCATCCACCTGGCATGTAAGTGGTCCAACTGGGAGATCCCGGTTTCCACTGATGGGAAACACTGGTGGGAGTACGTGGACAGCTCTGTCACTCTCGAGCTGCTTGATGGTGAGATGCAATACATCTGTTTTTGTTTGCCATAATTTATGAAAGTGAATTAATGTCACTTACAGCAATGTATTATATCTTGCTATGTTTAGTATAGTAAGGTTTTCTACAGCATGTGGTGGTGTTTTGTAAGCATTTACCCAAAGTTCATATAATGCAGATATTGTAAAAGTGTCTGAATAAGACAGTTTCATTGTCTAAGTTAGGCATCAAACAACATTCATGTCTTGTACTTGCAGAGTTGACCCATGAGTTTCTGCAGATTCTGGAGAAGACGCCCAGCCGGTTAAAGAGGATACGCAACTGGAGGGTAGGACATACTACTGTACACTTGCATGCATGGTCTTTAAAAATCAGGGAAAAGCTTACATGCCAAAAAGGCTGCCCAGCGGTTTACCGCTCAGCCCCGTTTGGCAAAGAACTGATTGGCAATTTAAAATTTTAACTAGCGAAGGATTAGGAGTTACAAGAGAAATCCCACTACATTGAGTATTTGTACTACTGCTGACTAAACAGTCTAACAAATCTCTCTATCCCACCTAGGCGACACAAGCTGCCAAAAAGCCCAAGACTGAGAGCACCCAGTTGATGGATAACTCCTTTCCTGGGCCGTCCATGCTCCAAGACCAAGGTGATGCGTCGCTTGCTGGAGTCTCCTCCAACCCAAGCTTTTCCAAAGCAGGCAACACCTTCACCATGTCCATGCCTGGCCAGTCTGGAGGTGCACCCCTGACTCTGGACACCATGGCTGGTACATACAATCCTGCTAGCCACAGTGAGTGGCCCCAGGGCAAACAGAACCAAGCAGGGTACCCTTCCACCTGTTTAAAACAGGAACCCCTCAACATCCCTCTCCAAGAGCAGGCACTGTCCTTGCAGACCTCCACGTCCTCTTTGCTTCAGCATCCACCGATATACAGGACAGAGAAAACAATAGACTTCAACCCTGTCAAACAGGAACAAAAAGGAGCTGGTGGGGGTGGAGTGGGCAAGCATCAGCCACCACCTCAGCCTGCATACCCTCCACCAGCTCAGCCTCCTCCACCACCACAACCTTCTCCAGCTCAGAAGCTGTCTCTGGACAAATACAGAGAGAAACATGCTGCAGAGCTGGCTGTCTCTGGACAGAAACGCCGGCAGGAGCAGCATGGAGGTGTAATGGATTGCGAAATGTCGTCTTCCTCCTCTTCTACCTATGCACCATCATCTATGAGCCAAGTAGACCATAGAAAACATTCACAGCCCCACCAAACGTCCCATGGTGGAGGTGGTGGCCCCACCGCCTCCCCAATGAAAATTAAAGTCCCTTCCTCCTCAACTTCAGGGCAAGACAGACGTCATCACAGTGACAAACGGGACAAAAGCTCGCTGAAACTCCGCCTGGCTGTTCCTGTGTCTGGCGGCAGCTCCCAGCTGGATAAAAGTGGGCAACCCAGCAAAGACGAGCTTAAGATGAAGATAAAAGTTTCATCATCAGAGTGCCACAGCTCATCAGATGAAGGCATGGCGACCACCAACAACAAGAGTAAACATTCCAGCCCGATGGTGAACAAAGAGAAACATCGTGGAGCGGAGCACAACCTCCATCGCCATCACAAGCACAGTCACGCTCACACACACAGCGGCAATGGGCGAGGAGGTCCCGAGGGCCCAGGTGGTGGGGGAGGCCTGCTACGGGGTCCCCCGGGGCTGGTCAGCATGGAAGGGATGACGCTTGCTCCTCCCGGATCCACCTCTTTCTCTTCATCCACATCACGCAAGAGGGCGTACCCAGAGGTCAGCCACAACCACCACCCTCCTTCCTCATCCTCCACTTCTTGCTCCAAAGTGAGCAAAATCTCCAAGGGTGGCACTGGTGCTGCAGGTACTTCATCTTTTTCTTCCCCCTTTTCTCCCCTTTGCTCCTCTCCTGTACTGCAGTGTGTCTCATCTGGCTTGCAGCTCTTTGGCTAACCTCCTTCCTTCCCTCCCTCCCTCCCCCCCTCCCCCTCCTCTTCCTTATTCTTGTTTCTCCTCCTCCCTCCTGTCACACCCAGGTGGGCTGCGGACCTCTCAGCAGTACCCTCCTAGTGAATCGCCACATGAAGTGGGAGAGCAGAGACACTGAGTCCACCACTCTGCAGCTATGGCCACCACATGGAAATGGCATCAAACAACCCACAGTTGAGACTTTGAAGACTATGCTCACCTCCTTGTCAAGTGCCCTAGAAAAATAACTCTTTATGTGATGATAAACCCTTTACTGAAAGGCAGAAAAAATTATCTCCAAAAACATGAAAAGTATTGTTGGACTTCTCAGTTTCTGAGAGACTAGACAGATGAAAAATTATGCTTCCTGACTGTCACATCTCTGGGCTGTGATGCTCGGTCCTGTTTTTCTGTTAGTGTTGAATTGCTGCTTGGTTCTCCTTCCTCCTCAAATGGGTCTGGGAATGTGCAAAGGTTGGGCGGGTGTGATTGTGGTGGGGAGGGTTTGAGTGTGTTTCCATCGGGAGGGAAGTCCTTCCCTACATCTAAGATCCCCATATGGAGAAACAAAAGTATTACAAGTACTATAAATTAATTGAATCACATTTCTGCAGTTGTATGGAGGAAGCCAGTGGCCAGCTGGAGATGAGTTCAAGTTATGTTTGCTGGCATTCCATTTAGTACTGTTGATGGATGCAATTTTTTTTAGGTGTAAAGTTTCATCTCCTCAATTACTTTTCTTGTCTTGATTTCTTTTTATACTTAAGTACTGTGCGTATGATTTGCATGTTTCAATCATCAAAGGGATTTAAAAGGAGAGCACTTACTTACTGTTTACAGGAAGTGGAGATAAATGTACATACGTTTTTGTATGTTTAAAGAAAAAAAAAGCTATACCATGACTACTCAGGTTTGGAGCTGCTTGTAAGTATAACAAGATAACTATAATACCTATAAAAGACTTTTATTTTGTGGATCTACCGTTTGGGCATCATCGGGTGAATGACTGCAGCATTCCAGTGGTGTGTGCTTCTTACAGCCTTCCTACAGAGGGTGCTGTACTGTGCTTTTCCATCACAGGAAATGTCAGTTGATGCCCTCAACACAGGCACATTCAACACCTACTAATCACATCAGAGCGATGCAATTTGTACCAAAAATTATTTTTTGGACCTCTAAGTAGACCTTAAGCTGGATGCCAAAGGTTTTGCCTCAACAAGAAAAAAAATGACAAGGACAGTAATAGTTTGCTATTAAAGTTTACATAACCCTTTTTATTTTGAAGTGCGTCAGGCATAATTTCATGACATGAAGCTGTAGCCCTTTTAGATGTCAGCCCATGAAAGGGATACAAATATTATTCAATCAATCATTAACAGGGTACTATTCAGGAGACAAAAAAAAACAAACACTTGTTGGCTCTTTCCATTCCAGCAACAGTTGTCAGAACAGTGACTAACTGGCCATATGCAAGATGACCTGCTGCATATGTTGGAAAGCTTTAGTATCTGTAATGTGGACGAGCTTGATAGTTTTTGTCACCGACATCCTCATCCAATTGGTTGAATTTATTTACAGCCATGTAACTGTCCGGACACGTCTATACATTAGTTTCATACATTAAACTCTATTGTTCTAAAATCTTGATATTACCCAGTCCCCTCTGTTCTTGACTGGGTTACTCGTGTATTTCTAGAGTGTGCAAAATACCCAATAAGCCTGAGGCTGGATTGTTTGTACCCTCATTAGGGATTTTACAGTTGGGTGCACAGAACAACAGCAGTTATGGACAAATGAGCATAAGCCACTTTACAACCTTTTTTTCTTTTCATTTCAGTATTACAAATAAACTTCAAAGTTGCCACTATCCTGACACAGTATAAATTCTGGTTGTTGCTGTCGATTTATTACACATACTGTATATGCATGTTGCTAGACTCTAGGAGTAAAAAAATAACCTACTGATTTGTGGATTGAATTTGAGAAGACATGTCTGTACAGTAGCTTATAGTAATGAAAAGTTCTTATCTGTGGCATGTCTCCTTTTACACACTGATTCCTCAATATCTCCTCAGAGGAAAGCTAACAGGAAGCTCTGAAACGAAGGTTATGGGAATTAGCTGATAATATATGCAGCAATATGAATTTGACACTTTATCAGAAACTAAATATTACGTACCCGACAGACCTAGAGTTAAACTGTAGAAATGTGAAATTATGGTATTTATAAGTTTGGCACATTTTTAAGATTGCTATAGAAAATCCACAAAGTCAGTAACAAAAGTGTGGCATCTACCTTGTTACATTTTATAGCTTCTATTAATGTACCAAGTGAAAGTGCTTCTTCTGTAGTTCCATTTAAAATTCAGCTCAAGAATGTAATGACTACATTTTCTTAACCCTTGATATACTCAGTATTCTAGTGTCCAAAAAGGTGTGGGACACATGGCCAGTGCCTCATGTTCCCAAACATGGGGGGGGTAGGTGGCAGGTCCTCAAAGTGTCTCAAAAGAATACTTTGTGTTTTGGTTCACCAATCTAATTTGAATCAATAAATGTCCCCATGAAGAAATATTGTTTTAGTGCAACTCCTTGTTAACCACACTGTCCTTGTGGATGACCACAGCAGTTCTTTTTCTGTGTTTCCCAAGAGTTCACTCCAGTCTCAATTTTGGGGATGAATGAATGCTTCAGGAGCTGGTCTGCAGATGGCCGTAGTCTCTGGTCACTGGAGTGGAGAGAGAACAATAGAATAATAGGGAATTCATTCACAAACATGTCTAAACAGATAAGATTTGCAATTCATTTTTTTTCCAATTAGATGAGTTTGACACTTAACAAATCAATTTTTGCTAAAATAAATCAGATGAAGGGGAAGTGATCTTACAAAAGGAATTTTCCATGCGTTCAACAAGAGATGAAACATTGTCTCACCCTGTCAAGCAGATTTTTACAAAGTCCTTGGCATTATCCGAGAACCCGTTTGGTAAGGAGGGCATCAATCCTCTCTGAGCTCCAATGTAGAACAAGGCAGCCATTTTGTCCATGTGTGCAAGTGGTGGTTTCCCTGTGGCCATCTCAAACACTGTGCAGCCTACACTCCATATATCTGACTTCCTGCCATATCCTGTCTCATTGATGACCTAAAAGGTAGAAGAGATGACAAAAGGTCAGAATAGTTAAAAGTCAAAGTTACACTTAAACAAGTAGAGCTTAAGCAATTCAAAAAGTCCTTCTGACACACGACCACCTAAAAGAGCTCCATATCTACCTCTGGTGCCATCCAGTAAGGTGTTCCATGGACAGACTTGAGCAGGTCTCCATTGTTGCTTGCAGTGTGGTTCAGGCAGCTGAGACGTCGTGCACAGCCAAAGTCTATGAGCTTGATGATTCCAGTGGGCATCAGCATGACATTGTTTCCCTTCAAGTCACGATGAATCACCCTGTTCAGATGAAGGTAGGCCACCCCCTCCAGGATCTGATGGGTGTACAGAGCCAGCACTCGCTCTGGCAGAGGACCAAACCTGGGGGCAGTAGAGGGGACAATTTGTATTGAAGGTATTAGTAAAGATAATTTATTTTAAGATCCTGCTGTGATGTTTTGTCAAAAACAGGTCATTCCTAAAGCTTGACAAATGGGTTAAGGTATTTCGAATCAACCTAACCTGTGCAGGATGCTAGCAATGGATCCTCCAGGGATGTACTCCATAAAGATGGAAACGATATGCTGATAAAGTGAGGTCCCCAGGAAGCCCACAATGTTGGTGTGTCTAAGGGTTTTAAGCAGTTCCACTTCCCCTTGCAGACGACTGTACTCCCTCTTTGCAGTGTCAGGGTCAGAGGTATCCAGACTGACCTGCTTCACAGCTATCAGCTGGCCCTGGCTGGTCAGGCCACAGTACACCTGGTGAGAGGGCAGCATATAGAATATACTGAGACCTTTTTTTCTTAATCTTGAATGTGTTATTTATGTTGCTAGCAGACTTACTGTCCCATAGGCCCCCCTGCCGAGCACTTCACCCTTTGTCCATGTGATGGTGTCATCTACAGCCAGCCCAGAGCCAAGCAGACCTGCACTGACTGTTGAAATAACCTGCAGTAAAATACACAGAATGAAACTGAGCAATGATTGTTAGCATGTAGGGTGAACTGGATTATAAACTAAAAATCACTAATAATTTTGCAATGCAAGGGCTATAGTGGGTTTCTTAGCGTTAAAGGGACAGTTCGCACTATAGCCTCAAACACCCAATTATTTTTATTCAACTGCATTGCAAATTCCCGAAGTATTCCTTTAAGGTGTTGAATTAGTTTATTGAAAAGTTTAGTCCATTTTTAATAAATTATTAAAGGATGATTTATCACCAACCACAACAGATACTCCATATCCTTTATTTTGGTATTTTGTATAATTTTGGTACAGTCCCTAAATATGTGGCGTTACGAAAGAACATGACTGAATGAGTCGAGATTCAAGGTGTCTTTATATGCGCAGTCACAATTATCTCTTAATCGTGACAGTGAACTTTCAGCCTTAATATTAACCATCAAGTTTACCTCAGGAAACATATTTGTTCCTGATACAGGATCCTCTTTGTTGAGCTCCTTTTTGCTTGATTCCAGGTTTTCGGGACATGGGCCTATGGATACATCCCTCTCATCCAGTGAGATCAGCTCCTCAGCCAGACACTGCAGAAGGTCATCCGTAAGCGGCCCATCTCCCACTTCATCCAGAAACTTCTGGTAAACTGGTGACATAACGGTGTTGCTGCTGCTGTGAGAGGATGTCCATGTGTTGATCTTTGGCTGTTGGGAGCTTTGAGGTAACACAGGCTCAGGAACTGATCTGTTTAGGTTTCCTGTTGATGAATTCCCAACTACTTCTTGCACATTAATGGTCAGTGTTTTGTCATCAGATTTGAATAGTTCAGACCCATATTTAGACAGAGCCTCCTCTATGGTATATAACGTATGATCTTCAGCCTTTTCTTGTGCACTATTTTGACCATGCTTAGAGCGATCTAACTTGGTCTCCTGTTTAGGCATACTGACCACTGTATAAGTACCTTTCTTTGATACAGGTGTGAGGTGAGGTTTCACCCTAGAGGACCCAAGTCTTGCTTTGCTTTTAGCTGAAACCACCATGCTCTCCCCTGGGCTTCTCCTCGCCTTACACTGAGGTTGTTTCAGGGGTCTGTGTTTGACTTTATGGGGTTGTTGCGTCTTCCTGGATGGCGCAGACTGCACTTGTCTGTCCTTTGTCTTCTCACAGGAGCTGGAAACCCTAAGGTTATCATAGATAGGGCCAGCAAACATCTCATAGATGGCTGGTCCTTCATCCGTGCTTTGTATCTGCTGAAACATGTCTTTGTAGGTGATGAAGTCCAGAGCAGATTTAGACCTTGGTGTCCCTGTTACACTGAGTCTCTTCAACTGCCGGGCGCTCTTCAGCTCCCTGACTGGTGGTTGAGCTCTGTTGTTGTTAGACTTGTTCATATTTGGTCTTTTGCTCTGTGGGTGATCAATAACCTTTCGTGGCGATGGGGTGTCAGTGCTACGATGACAATTCTTTGCAGATTTAAGCTTTGATTTTGCTTTACACACCGTGGCCTCTCCACTAATAATTAGCTCAGGGCTTTTCCTGGTTTTATCCTTGACTTGTGAGGAAAGTGAGGAGTACTTCAGATTGTTTTTGGACTTGTTCCGACTTAGGATACTATGGTCTTTATGTGTTAGTGGGTTGAAGGAGTTTGGTTTGTTAGTTTGATTATTTGCTCTTAGTTCACAGTTCATGCGGGTTCTTCTTTCCTTGCTCCGGGCAGGGTTTAAGGCTTTCAACATCTTCTTATCTGTCATGGGATCCACATCTGACGGTGGAAGGTTTACTGCCACAGTAAAGAGCTGAATTTTCCCCAAAGCAGTGCTGGGATTTAATTTTGCATCCTCAGCACTGTGAAGGATTGGGTTTTCACAGGAACCCTTCATTGTCTCCGCTGTCTGCTGTACATGTAGTTCATTGCTGTTCCCATCAGAGCATGCAATAGCATCCCCTTGGTCATCATTCATATCAAATATAATGACATGTGTAATATCAGTCTCAGGGTCTGTAGTGCAGCCCTCACGGTTCTTGTCCTTACAGTCTGATGTGACAGGCATGTCACTGTTCACAGTCTCTTTAACATGCTCACCTTGTTTTGCATAGTTACATTTTGTAAAGGAATGATTGTCAAGAGACTCTTTTGTATAACTCATATTGGTGGCTTTGCCTTCACAGTGAGAGTTTATAGCTGTTTCAGTGCTGAGAAGATCACCCTCATGTTTGATAGGCTCTCCATGCAGGTTATGTGCTGATCTGTGGATTGGTGGAATTGGACTGATCCTCGACTGAACTTTAAAATTCCGCCTTGTCTCCTCAACCAAATCAGCCTCAGCGGATGCCACAT